AAGTAAACTTGTTTGCAGGAATTGAACTTTTCCAGGGAAGAAAGGATTACCTCTTGGACCATCTACATTAATACTATTTTTTCAGTGTGAATCTATTATCACAGACTCTGGTCCATAGAAGGCACAAATTGCTTAATGTTTCTCAAGAAAAAGTAACCAGCAATAATACCTGCAATCTTTCTAATAAAGCTCAGATCACTTTCGTTCACCATTTCAGAAGGTTTCCCAGCGGGTGGCGTGGAGGGAGCCACTCAACTGCAGATCCTTACACTGATCTCTCAGGAAGGATACTGTTTTACAGTTGACAAAGTGGAGACAGACAGGTTCCTGTGCTGGGCTGGAATCCAAAGTTCAGTTCTCTCCCCAGGCAGGTACTTGTGCTTGTGTCAGTCTTTCTGAGGCTGACACTCCCCAACCACCACTTCTGAGCTCCTCAAAGATTCTACTGACCAGGACTGGAGAAGTTACATAAAGGCACAGAGCAGCCCAAGAGCAGGGGAGCATAGCGGTCACTGCACAGCTCGTAGAGCAATGCACAGCCCTCTATAGCACCTAAAAGTAGATGCTTGCAAGAAATGGAGCGCTTGTAGCTTATCACTGGAGCTACCTACACCACAGTCTCTCAGTTTACTGCCTTCAACCCCTCAAAACTGAAAACGTTCGAAGCTCTAAAGGCTCCTGTGACCCCTGGCTGCTGACGCACTCTTATCCTGCCTTCTGGTCAGATTAATGTGCTTGCAGCCTAGAAGACAACAGGAGCGTTATAAAAACTGGTAATACAGTGCTCTTAAGGAATGCTGTATCACCTGTAAGATGGCAAAAGAGAGCTCATATCAAACTTACATAGAGGGCTTCAACAAATTCAACAGATTTGACTGACTGCCCACCTTTGGAAGCAGGGGTTTTTCTGTGTCTATGAAAGGAAGATCAGGCGAGGCCATAAAACTAAACTTGCACCTAGACCAGACAGGGCTAGGGTAGCTAGCTGTCCTGACCTAGACCTTGAAAGTAATAAATTTTTATTTCCAAGTCAGTGAGTGACCTACTACATCAAAGCTTCACTTGCAAACTCTGCTTTACAGTGAAAGCCACCATTAATTTTTCTAATGGAAATATATATCTCTCTTAGAGAACACTCCACATCAGTAGGTAACCACTGTTTCCCTTCCTGTCACAATTTTGCAGCATTTAATCACATGGCTATACAGTGGATTAAGTCACTGGTCCCCTACTGAAGAGCCTGTGGGTGCCATTCATCTCCTGTTATTACAAACAATGCTGTAGGAAATAGCCTTGTGCATCATTCCAGATTCTAGCCAAGGAACTTCTGTGATTCATAAACTTCTAAAAGAATTTCTGAGTTGAAAAATAAATGTACCTATAGTTTGGCTAGATATTACCAAATTCCCTAGCAAAAATGTCATAGCATTTTCCATTCTGTTCAGTAACAAATTTAAGAGTCCCCACAGATTAGCCAGCAGAGTTTATGGTAAAATTTTTGAAATTTTGCCAGTCTGATAGGTAAAAAAGGAGAGTTCACTGTAGGTTTAACTAGTATTTCTCATGAGTTAAGTTTCAAGTATTTTCATTTATTTACGTATCACTTACACTTCAGTTTTCTCTCTACACCTTCTATTTTTTTAATCTACTTATCTACTTCTATTCTTTTATCTACTTAAGTTTGTCTCCTCTGTTTCTAAAAGCTCCCCTCTCCCTCCCATGTGATTTTGGTTTTTTTTTCCCCAGAGGCAAATTTATTCATGTTTTCATTAGCACATCTTGAGTTTGAACCATAGTTAGAAAATTATTCACTCATGTTTTCGCTGGGTAACATGCCTGGTTCAATACGCACATGAAGATTTCTGATCTCTCAAATTTGTTCTGACGTCTACTGTGAAAACATGCACAATTATTTTCTTGTAACTTATGAACATTCAGTGGTCCCATCTCTGCTTGTTAATGGTCACTTCCTCCACTGTTGAGTGCTGACTGCATTATATTCCATCTTTCCATGTGCGATGACCCCAAACTTTCTGTTGTTCCATATTACCTATTTCAGTTTTCTTTAAAGCTTTAAAATATATTTGGAAAACAAGACTTTCCATCTCTCAGGTTTTTTCATGGCTATTTTTGCTTGTTAATTTTTCCAACTAAACTTTATAATGAACTTAATCAGTTTTAAAACAAAACCTAACTGAAACAATGGTTTTGAACCACCCTGTCCAAGAATGTGGCACCCTTGTCCACATGAACAATTTTACTGTTGTATGTATTTGTATGATCTTACAGTTTTCTTCAAAAATGCACTGATAGTTCCTATGAAGTTTTTGCCTAAGTTCCTGTCACCAAAACATCCATCCATCCATCCACCCACTGATCTATCCACCCATCCACCTACATCCTAATTATGTTTTTATGTTCATAAAAGTATAGTGCATACAAATGAGCAAAGCTTACTACAAAATGTAAGCTACCACTTTCTTCAGAAAGTTATTGCCTAGTTATGTTATAAAGCCCTAAACATGTAAGATGCCAAGCTCTTGGGTGTAATAGGTTTCCTACTCAAACGTAAGAAGCTTGTTGAGTGTGTGAAATATTAAAAGACATCTTTCAACATCTTGTGGGTAAAACAGGCTGATGAAAGATGAGCCTTAAAGACTAATGAGTTTATGGTCATCTCAAATCATTGTGTTGATTTATGCCTGTTTAACAGCAAAGAAAACACCACGGCAGGTGTGATTAGCGTAGGAAGAAACTTACTTAAGATTACTGAAGAAGAGTTTCCCTTAAAATCATCACATAATTTTATTCAGGCTGATTTGATTTATATGGAACAAGCAAGTGTGTGTTCCCCCTTTCACACTGGCTCAGGGGCGGCCCCACTTCCTGGATTGCATTAAATCCTTCTCAAAATTATACACATTCTTGTTTGCCATGGTTTGCTTGCAATCAGAGTTGAGATTTGATTTTCACAGTGTATTAAAACAGACCACTGAAAGGAGGAAACGGCATTAATTTTAGAGTCTTAAGCTTTGTTTTCAAAGTAATATGTAAGGAAATCACAGTATTAGCACAGCTACAGTTAGATACTGAAGTAAGAAAATTATCATGGGCACATATTAATTTATTCAAAATTTAAAATATAATTGAACTTTTTGTAAACAAAATAAATTTGACATTTTCTTAGGTCCAACAATAAAATCTCACTGTTTCAATTAGTTTAGATGGCAGGCGTTTTCCACAATCAGAATGAGCAAATTTTCACTAACTCCAGACCTTGACAAAAATAAGCTTGAGATCTTTACAAATACAAATCTACCATCTTCACACACAAAAAAATAGATTTGTACTTCGGGAAAAAAAAAAACAATCATTAAAAAGTTGTGTTTGCAAAAGGAAGAATATTACAAAGCCCTCAAGGCCGACTGACAATACATATGTATTGTCATATGTACTGACAATACATGTGTGTTGTTTAGAAACTACTTGTTAGGAAAAGATCAGTGAGTGTCATGGGCATCTATGAACACAGCTGTCTCTCCCTTTGTACATTCCAGAAGTCAGGAGTTCTAGTGTGATTACAAACCCGACAGCTTCCAAATCTTGGTCATTAAGAAATTTAGACGATAACTTAATTAGCCATACACAACAGAAATATAAAGATAGTCTGATCACTGGCCACTGTGCTTTGGGGTCTGTTATCTGGAAAGACTTCAGAGATTAAAAGGTACTGCTGTAATAGAACCTTCCACTTTTACATACTATGTATGTAAAGTGTTCCTGAGTTTACATTAGTAAAAATGGAAAGAAACATTAGCATTGAATCTTTGCTGGATACATGGACTAAGTAAAAGGCAATTCGTCTTTCATTTTATTAATAAATGCTTTTGCAAGAAAAATTTACTTCCTGTGCTTAATGATTCAAAATCAATTGTATTATCTTTGCACTGTTTTACAATCATTTCAAAAATTTAATATAGAAAAATATTTTCTAACCTATAGCTTTATAATTATATGAAAAATCCTTAGATTTTTATATCAGATTTTATTGTAAGTTTTTGTTAAATGTTGTCAAGTATAAGATACACATTGAATACAACAACAAAATCTGACTTGGGGACTGACTTGAAACTAAGAAGGATGACTGTAAAGTTTCTTACTGATAGGAAAAGTTTGTCTAGGGGTGTGGGGGGTGTATATTTGTGGTATGTGCATTTTTGTGCACTTGTATGAAAGACAATGTGCTATGTGTAGAGGCCAGAGGTGGACACTGTATGTCCTGCTCTACCACTTACTTCCTTATTTACTCCCTTGAGACTGGGCCTCTCAATAAACCTGGGGCTTGGCATTTTGGTGGGTGACTGGTTGGCCAGCAAGCTCTCGGGATCTGATCCCCCAGTACAGTGTTACAGGAGTGCAAAGCAGTCATACCTGGCCTTTTACACGGTTCTCAGAGATTCAAACTCAGGTCCTCAGATTTGGACAGCAAGCTCTCATACCATTGAGCCATCATCCCAGCCCCAATCTAGATACATTTTAAAGGTAAATATCTAACATTTATTAGATACTTTGTCAACTAGTCAAAATTATGAGAATACTTTCTACATGCTGACTTTGAAAGTTGGAACAGAGGCAGTTTGAAAAGGTTCCTTTAAGGTTTCTGTGGGTAAAGCAGAGTCACAGAGTGGCCACAGAGCTTAATAAGTGATAGCTCCAGGCTGGCCAGTGGCTGTAAACTATCAGGCTATTCCTGCTAATATGTGGAAATACTTTCAGAAAGCGTAGATTTGCCTAACTAATGCAGGATTCTCCTGGCCATGCTCCGTGAAACAGAGAAAGACCGAAACTTTTAAAATATTGAACATTTTCCAAAGGACATGAGCAACTACATGCAAAGGCTACGGAGAACAAACAGGCAAATGGACTGAGGCTACTCTGCAGGAAAAGCAGTGAGAAGTTCTGCCTGGCTAGCAGAAGCATATGCTGGGTTAAGTACTCACATTCACATCCCTTCCAGATGCTGACTTTGAGGGGTCCTCATCACTATCCGCACCAGACAGCACAAGATGCTCGGCCTAGAACACAGACATGCACCCCACCATCAACTCTAGGTAAAATTAAGTTCCAACAAGAGCAGGCATCCTTAGTAACTCTTAGGCAAAAAGTGCTAGTATGACCAAGCTTCTAGCCAGCGGAAAGTACAGTGTTACAGCCCATGCCCACACCCCAGCTTACAAACTAATACATTCCCTCACAATGTTGAAATCCACAACTCATGGAAAGAATTTTCCTCATTTTTTTATTTCTCCAAAGCATTTCTTTAATTTAAATTATGCAATTTAAAAATAGTAGTGGGCATGAACTGACAGAATTAGCTCAGCAAACCGATTAACTAGGTTTTGAAGATTTCAAAGTTTTGATCTCTGCATAGCTAATAGACTGGGTGTGCACAGAAATAATTTACCAAACAGCTCCTTTCCTCCCTCCTATCCATAAAAGGCAAACAAAAATATATGGTCAGCCACACAATCATGTAAGGAGATACAACTTGAAAATTCAGTTCCCTGGACTCCTAATGAGAATCTTTGGACACATGACCCAAAAATACAAAATTAAAATTAGATCTCAGGATGACATTTAGGTATGTTTTGAAAACCACTGGCTTCGGGGAGTAAATGATGTCAAAATGATATAAAATTTCATTCATTTAAAGCTTTAAAACAATTGTCCCCCCCCTTCAACCAAAATCATGCTCCTTTAAAGAGTGTTCCCTACTGAGATTTTATGCACAGCCATACTCACACACCTATTCACACATACATACTCTTCCTTAAAAGGTAATATACCGGAGAATCACTTCAGTTTAAATGCTTTCACAAGGTTCCACTTTCTGGTTTTACTCTGTACTGAGACACCCGCAGACGATCTGGCATCACAGGATTTTGAGAACCATTTTTAAAGGTATTGGCTCTAACCGCTTTTAATTGCTGAAGACACTGGAAACCACATTTACTAAGCACTGTACAATGAGTGACTATAGCAAGGAAAGGTTTAATTTTAGCCTTTACTAACACTGTAACTGACTAAAGTATAAAGGCATGAGCTGCTTGACTTATTCACCTGTAAAATGCACTTGATAATGCCTCTCTTCTAAGGTTCCAGGGAGACTAAACTAGGATACGTTTAGCACACTAAAATCACAAACTATAACAGTGGAGAGAGGTAAAGTGCTAAGAAGTGGATGCATTAAAAAAGCACACAGCCAGCAAGTAACCCAGTAAAGACAAGGCTGAAAAAATATGTGTCTAGAGCAAATATAATTGAATAAGGAAGAAATAAGTGAAAGACGAGGCATGTAAGACGTAAAAATGACTCTAAATGTCTAAGGCAGAAAAAAAATGGGCTACTACGCAAAGAAGCATCCCTTCTGATCAAGAGACCAGACTTCACCATTTGTGGCACTTAACCAGTATGTCATGGGTTCCCGGTACCTGTCCTCATACCTCCTAAATTACAAGCAGTTAAGAGGGTCTCCAAACCCCCAGCTTTAGGAGGTCCTTATCTGCTAAACCAAACGTGTTCCTACACCGGAGTCTTCCTTTCTTTGCTGGGGATTTCCTCTCTCAGAAGGAAAGAGTCTCAGAATAAGCAAGAACCAAGGTGAGGAATGGAGAAGGATGGAATGAGGGATTTACTATGAGCTGGTGTTATGAGAACCATGGAGAAGAATCAAACACGGTCCCACCAAGGTCATCACGACAATTTCAAGAACTACCACCAAATTAAGAGCACTGGAAAACCCAAGCATAAAATTCTGATTCTGCAATTTCATTGAATCCTGGCAGCAAAGGAAAGGAGGCCAGGAAAGGAAGAGAAAGGAGGAGGGGAGGTAACTCTCAAGGCTAAAGAGATCACCATTGAGACATACTCTGACCACAAATTTTCAAAAGACACAGAGAAACATGGCAAAGAGCACATGTAATATATAATTATATACTTCATCTTTCATAAATACAGGAGAATGAGAAAACCTTTAAATCATCAGGAGAGAGGAAGAACTAGCAGGTTTGTGAAGTCTCTAAAGGCAGGAGGCCTTTGCTGTTCAGCATCTTGAGTTCCATGAATATTGTCTCTAGTGGAAGGTGCTGGCTGACTCCACAGATGGACAGATCTGGGCCTCCAGGCAAACTACTCTATTTTTCTAAGCTTTAGTACCCTTACCAGCAATCACAGGGAGAATCATAATCCTAAGGCTGTAGGTTGTGGAGAGTCAGAGCGAGGTGTTTACGCAGCACAGAAGTACAAGTCTACACAACAGGGTTGAGAGGCTTCCCAAATAAAAGTGATTCCTGTTCTCACTTCTCAAAAAACTATACAAATGGAAAGTGCTTCCCAATTGAGTAAGAGGGAATTAATGCCAATTAATTACAGTACCATTTTTTTTCTTTTTTCTAATATGTGTATATGTGTGTGTTCATAGTATGTGTATGTGTGTGTTACAAGTATATGCGCCTAACATTTTCAAGGATGCTGGGGATCCAAAATTGGGTCTTCATGCTTACACAGCCAGTACTCTTACCACTGAGCCATCTGCCTGGCCCAGGTTTGTCCTTTTCAGTCTCATTTATTACCAAGAAAAAGGTATTACACGTAAGCAAAATAGACCTGTAAATGAATAGAATGGTGATAGAGTGTTCTTTGCCAGATAGTTCGCAGGTATTTATGGTTTTGAGACTCTTGTAACAAAGGAGTACAAAAAAATTTTCATTTTTTATTCTTTGTAGTATGACTTCAATTTATTCTATTATAGGGGCTAGAGAGGTGCCTCAGTGGTGAAGAGTATGCACTGCACTCACAGAGGGCCTGAATTCAGTTCCTAGATGCCACATCAGGGGGTTTACAACTGCCTGTAACTCCAGTTGCAAGGGATCTGATGAATTCTTCTGGCCTCTGCAGGCACTGCACTCACATGCACAAAACCACACACAACACACAGACAAACACAAAGACCATTAATAAAAATAAAAAATAAAATATTTTTAAAAGTATTCTGTATCTGAAGTATGAATATACTTATTTAATAATGAATAACAAGACCAAAACAACATACAATGGTCTGTGCTCTCTGATCATATTAAAACAGTATAAAATATCTAAAAGCCATAGAAAATGGGCCAGTTCCACAATGGATAATTATGTCTACAAAGTGGTCTTAACTGTAGCCCCACCAGGCTTCCAAGGTTAAGCAGCAGAGTTATAGTTCATTTTGGGGGACACCGATCATGGTATTTAAATTTAATGAAGCAAGACTCAGTCATTCATTTACTCAAAGGCTGTGAGCTGAGTTTCACAGCGTGCCACATGAGCAGGGCACCCAGCAGCCTTCAGAATCTACAGGCTTCCCCTTCTACTGGTGAGTGAAATGCCTTCATCTTAAATAAAACTGCTCAGGGCATCAAATAGGGAATTAGTATTTCTAAAATGAATTATTTGAAAACTCCCAAGCCAAGTTCAGGACAAACCACATGAGAGTATTTTGGACAATGCAGAGTCACATGCATTACCTTACTGCTGCTTCTTTTATTAACTTTGAAAAATCCCAGAAATTGTTTCTTCTCTTTATCTGTGTCATCATTGCCAAGGGATGACTCCCTAAACATTTCTGGAGAAAAAGAGAGCAATACTGTTATTTTTCAGCATTTGAAAGATGAGATTAAGTACTTTATTTTTTAAAGCCTTAACTGAATCCTTTAATCTGTTAGTTCTAGGAAGAAAATCATCACTATTTCCTTCAAAGCCTTTAGAGCCACCTCAAAGTCCTCCAACGCATGCCAGAAATCACATGAAGTTCTTATACAGTTTTTCAATGATTAAGGCAGCATTTTCTCTGAGAGTGGTTTTATCCTTGTGGAAGATGAAAAAACCAAATCAACAGAAATTTGATGGAAGTATTTTTTAAGAGGAAGATAAAGAAATAAAATAGAGGTGCCCTAAAATAGAGGTGAGGTTAATTTTAATTATGACTTTATTTAATCCAAGATATCTAAGATACTATCGTTTTGCTTCGTGATTACTATGGGCATTACTGAGTGTTCACATTTATTTTGGAACTATGTCTGCAAAATAGAGTAGTCACCTCAGGCTGACACTGTAGCTCCATTGGGAATGGCCACTTGAAATGCCAAGAGACACATTGCAGCCTGAGGCTGCCCAAACAGTGATGTTCCAAGGACTGTGACATCTGTGTAACAAACCTGTCTTACGAGCTATGAATGAGGTAAAAATGTAAAATAAACCCTCCTCTTTTCTGAGAACATGGAGGGATAGTGAAGGAGACCTGGGTGGTATTTAGAGCAATCACCTCAGACCTCTGGAACACTGGTCATCATTTCCTCTCCAGAACATTTCCTTTTAAGAAATCACATTCTCCAGAGGCTTTCTGAGCTCTAATTCCTCCATTTTCCTTCTGTAGCATTTTCTTCATATGGGTTTTAGGTGGGATCAGTCTTCTCTTGCTGAGGGTTAAGACCCTAAAGCCCAAACCTACCAGGCCCAACAGACAAGGGCCGTGGTTCCCACAGCCAGGTGAGATCAGCAGCAGGAGTGCCACTGGGGACTTGCAGACATGCCATCCTCAGGCCCACTGAGCCTCCAGAATCAGAATCCATGAGGCAGTGCACACACTGCTCAACAACTTCAAACTCGGGTAAGGGAACCCCTGAGAAGCTAGTGTAGAGAGAGAGAGAACACCTGGACGAGCTGCTCAGTGTCCTGAGGCCTGGTTTTCTTCATCTGCAGAATGGGGACAACTGGGGCACCATGAGGGCAGTGCTCGGTATCTGGCAAACACAGCTCTACCAGACTGCTGATTGTTGCTATATACTTATTTGCCTATTCTTGGTTTTTGTTCTTCATTTACCGTTTCTCTCTTCCAACACATGATGATATGACAGAAGAGGAAGAAACAGGGGTTTGCAAAGGACAGAAAGATCAGATTTCCCAGGTAAGATGGCTGCCAGTGGCTGCAGAACCAGACAGCTAGAGCACAGGTGGACAAATCTCTGAGTGCGATTTGACAAACTCTGCCATGAATATATCAACCCAATGTAGTGAACATCCACTCATGTCCGTGTGGGCTGATGTATGATTTCACATCAGTTAAGAGAACATAAAAGTCCATGTATTTTTATACGTATGATTAATAATCTTGTATACTCAATAAGGTTAAAAAAAAAACCAAAAACAAGTCCATGTAGTTATTAAACCGTTCTGCAGGGAGCAAAGACCTTTGTCCTGTCAACACAGGCCAGGGTGCTTAATGACATGCAAGGCTTCCAGGCAAGATTAGTGGGGTGCTCAAGACACAAACCACAAAGTCAGAGGACTTGCTCACAGGATGCAGCTACACAGATATACATGAACACACACACAGTTCCAAGTTAGTCATATCAAACCCTCACTCAGTTAAGTATAGAGCTGGGAAGAGCAAAATATCTTACACCAGGGCCGGACAGATGACTCAGTAGTTAAGAGCACTTATTACACTTTCAGAGGACCCGAGTTCAGTTCCTAGCACCCACAGGGTAGATAACAGCTATCTAACTCCAGTTCCAGGGGATCTAACACCCTCTTCTGGTCTCTCTGGGCAGTACAAGCATGTGGTACACTTAAATACATATGGGCAAAACACTCATACACATAAAATAATTTTTTTTAATTTGAAAAAGAAAGTAGTTCCTATCTGGACACATTAAAGTGATGGAGAAAATGACAAAGATAAACTGAGTGATATAAGGTGTGGCAAAAGTGGAAGCAGCGTTGGAACTGATCCAAAGCACTTATTCGTCTGGTTGACCAAAGTGGGAATGAGGGCAGTTCAGGACCAGAACGAAGTCACTAAGCAAGTGGTGGAAGACGCTTTCCACGTACTGAGGTGAGCACTCTCTGCATGGCCAGTTATCATCACTGGGCCTAGATATGAGGTAAAAAGGAAGAGGTAGCAAAGTTACCTCTCCCTCTATTCCCCATCTGTCCATATCTCCAAGTAGAATCATCTAGAATGGCTAACACCTTCATATGTGAGTGTCCTGTTGAGAAGTTCTTTGGTGTTCCTCGGAAGAGAAAGCTTGTCTATAAGATTCTGCCTTTGATGAAGTATGTCAGCAACAGCTCAGAACATTGAGGGTCACTCAGTTTCAGCACTCAGGTATATACACTAGCACTACACAAATGCTGAAATATCTTTTACTGAATATTTTTTGGGAAATAAAATCTATTACATACTTTAATAAATATGACAAAGCTTTCTGTAAGATACAAAATCTTATTGGAATAAATAACAAACCCTGCAGTATAAACATGTTTATATGGGCATGTGTACACTCCAAAAGACCCATGAAATTCCAGATTCACATGTATATG